AATACAAGTTCTAAACTGGTGTCTCAGGTCTAGCGGTTAGGCACTTCACGTCACGTGGAGAAGAAAAGAGTTCGATTCTCGTGTACCTAGTATTTCCGGCTTACTGCTAGTCTGTTGCATCTCTCTCAGTCTCAGTCCATGGTGGCCCCGCCAGCCCGAATCAAAGCAGCATGCCTCCTAAATGATCTAGACTTTGTCAAGGGGGCATTGCACGTTCAAAAGACCTATCTATTAGAAGATTACAGAACCCTATTGTTCAATAAGTTATGTGTACATGTATTTCTGAACAGCCCACATATCTTGAATGATTTCTCACTCAGCAGAACAAATCGCGGGTACGAAATAAAATTCACCTTTGAACCAAGGCTACTCACACCTAAAAAAAAAAATTGATTGTTTGCTTAGCAACATAAATCTCGATTCTTCCGTACGTCCTTGTATGCACACATTGTTTGTTCACGCTTCAGACATAGGAATTGCGATTGCATCCTGTATAAATTACTGAGTTAACTGTATCTGCAATATACACCGTGAGGTGTTGCAGGGAAGTAGAAACGTCTAGTTTTGTTGAACTGGAAAGCCTCCTGGAGTCGGAAATTGCAAACTATAAATAATTTATTGCATGAAGTTGTTGGTAGACTATGATTTATCCTACTAGTGAAATTGCCAAGTTGTAATCACGAGTTCCAACGAGTCAGAGTGAGGACTGGAAAAATCCAGACTGTTTTCCTTTATCTTAAGCCACGCTAATCTACACGTTGTGCTATCTACGCGAAATAAATCCTAAATCCTAAAGACGACAATAATAACGTACGCTTTGGCAAAGCAAGCAAAAAACGTACGATTCAAAAGTTTAAACATTAAGAAACTATGTATATATTGGTAAGTGTTTTACCTCGCTCGCAGCTGCTATATTTCATATGAGCGCGCGCTCACATTAAATATTTTCAGTTTGGTAGCAATTTTAAATTTTGCCCAGGTGGCGCCGACGCCTACTCGATTTTAGGACCACCAAGGGAACTTTAACGTGCGCAGCTTGCATGTGAGACTTCCGGGATTTTGCGCCCTTATCCAAGAAGACTAGGTGTAGATCTTACCTACCGTAAGATCAGGAGTGTGGCTGAAAGACAACAGTAAGAAGGAGCCAAGGAGTAGCAGTAGGAAGGCTGTAGAAAGAGTCTGGAGCCGCATGGAGGGGCAAAGTGAAAAGGGGAAGGGGATGGGGCAGAAAGTGAAAACGAAAGCAGACGACAGTACATGGTAAGCATAAAATGCATCTATTACTTCCTCAATTCACCTATTCCTAGATCTTCATTTTGCTCTGTCTCCAGGTATAATTTTGATGAAGGATTTTAAGGCAAGTTGGTTTACAGGCATGCGAGCTAAATGTCCAAAACTTTATGCTCTTTAATGTGCTGTAGGACTGGAATGGTACTATTTCTCTGATGACTGAGTTCCCAACCCTGTCTCTTCTTGTCTTGTTTACAATCTTCCTGAGTCATCTTTCACAAGCCTTGATGTTGCTTTCTTGAATTTTCGTAAAGGTCCAAGTCCGCTGATAATAATAATTGGAGATGGGATGGGGTTTTTTTTTTCATTTGCGTTTTAATGTGCTTATATTTCACTTGTGCCAAATATTATTTTGACTGGAACCTACTGTATGTTATACAGAATCTTATAAGTAAAAAAAGGTTTGTGCACGACAGTAACGATATGTAACAGTTGGTAGAAAGATGTTGCTGACTTGCTTGGCCTTTGCTTCGGTGTTCGAGTGGGTCAAGGGTGGTACTAGATCTTGTTGGTAATTGACTTTGTTTGCTTTTTAGATTATCGTCTTGATCTCTCTGTCTAATTTTCCAACGTTCGTGAAGCTGCTCCCAAGATATTTGAATTTGTTCGACTTGTCTGAATTGTTTGCCGTTGATGGTGACGCCATGGCTAGGTTGGTTTTCTGTTGATTTTCATTACCTGTCTTGCTTGTGCTGACCTCCATGCCATATTGCTTACAAGTCTCATGCAGGCTGTTTACATGTTCTTGGGGCTGATGTCTGTATTAATTAGAAAGAGCAATTAGTTAGCTTTGGATTAGTTTGCCACCAAAGAACTACAGACTTCCACATAAGTTAAGGACCACTTGCAAACACTCTGAGTGGTCTTCTTGAGTCGACCTGCACGTGGGCGTTCTTGGATTGATCCAGTGGCTTGATGGGACTGCCTCAAGCAGACAATAAAAAGAGAGTGTGACACTGAATGCCTTCTGGCAACTGCTTGGGCTCCAACTCTATCCTGCGGCCATGCCATATCTCTGGCACGATCAAAGTTTCTCAGCTTTCATCTTGGTGGCATGTTGATGCGATACTGGATTTTGAGCAAACGGCGGCTTATAGTTATATTGCCACGAAAGTGAGCACAGTTCGAGTGCGTACGTCCATATATGACGTGCACCAGAAATTTTAACTGAGGAATGTCCGTGGTGTAACACACAAGTCGATTAAAAAAAACCCTCATATTTTTACTAAAATTCCCCAATGATTTCCGTGCAGCACGTGGTGGTTTTGCGACTTTAGAGAGCTTTGCAGTACGCATTGTTAACCCCATTAACACTTTCAGAGCAAAACATTCTGAAACATTCCTTGCTGTCTTTTTTCGGATTTTAAAAATATCAGAGCTGCCAGTCAAGGTGGTCTTTAACTTATGTAGAAGTCTGTATACTCACAATACCGAGGGTACACCTATGCATCAGTCAAATATGGGTTAATCCAAACAAATAGTTTATGAGAAATTTTGCCGCGAACGTGACCAAGATTTAACGAACAGACTATACTATTTATATTAGCTGCATACTCCATTGCATGGTCTTTTTGTACAGTGTACACTTTGATTCTCATTAAAGAGGAAACCCTTAAAGTCCGTTCGTCTCCTCGCACTCACAGATTGACGGTAGTTACAATGGTAAAACTAACGGTTTGCGGGAGAGGGGGGGGGGGGATCATCAAATTCCAGCGTTGTGGACCAGTTTTCGCAAACTTAGACAAATTCGTTTGAAAATATTCACTTAAAATCAAACAGGTTTAAATCGATGTGTTCACCAAGATGTACAAGCATGCAGGTATCGATAAGCTTTACAGGACTCACAGCTTGAGGCAAAGCAGACTTGTTTACGTCGTGTCACAGAAAAACACATGACTAACTTTACTTTTCCGGGTCCAATTTTTTAAGTTACTGTCTCTCAAGCCGTTGTACCAAAGCGGTCACAGATGAAGTGCTAGTAGTTGCGAGACCCGCTCAGCGTGGCCATTGACTAGCATTCTGCCCAAGTGGTTTGCTGTCCCGCTTGAACGTGATCAGCGAAATTAAAAGAAGTACCTGTGGACAGAGTAATCAAAATGTGACGCAATCGCGTGCTTTTTGTATTAGCAATAGGCATAGGCGTGGCATGTTGTGAAAACAGTGTCTACTTCATGCATTTATGAAACTAGATACTTGTTCCATCTCAGTGCAGGACTCGTTCGCTTTTACAATAATCGATCCGACCTTTAAAAAAAAAATTCCATGTGATCTTCACTGTCGAGCTACGTTTTCACAAGCGGGCTCTTCAAAATGTGCAGTGGGAAATTCTCCAACTGTTAAGAAGAAGCCATTGCAAAAGAATGTCTGTTTAGATCTAACCGTCTTCACTATAAACTCGAAAAGCAGGTTCACGCAGAAAATAATTTCTCGGAAATCCATTATCAGCTCACGCCGTTTGCTGAACAAATCTGACCAACATGAACAAACCAAATCTGTTTCGTGTAATACTGACTCTAGCTATCATTGAACGGGTACAACAAAGCTCTGGGGCTGGTTTTCGTTCGGTTGATGACGAAGTTCTGGAAGAAATATTTTCCAACTACAGTTCCCAGTCCAGGCCTGTTGTAAATGTAAATGAAACTGTGGAGGTCAATGTTTATTTTGGGCTGCTGAATATTCTGAACGTGGATTCCAAAAGTCAAAGTTTGGAGTTGTCTGCTTTTATTAACATCCAATGGACTGATGGACGACTGGCTTGGGATACCTACAACAATGCAAGGTAAGTGACACCATAATGACCAGATACGACTGCCCTCTGTTGAAAAAAAAAAGAAAGCAGAAATGTACAAATTGTTGACATGTTGACGGGGACCCTTCAGACAATGCGAAAGTTATAACTTAACTGATTATTTTGTTTACTTTGGAGGGAGGCTGGGCTGTTTTGCTATTGTTGTTTTGTTTGTTTGTTTGTTTGTTGTTGTGTTGTTGTTGTTGTTTTGTTTTTTGGGGGGGGTTTTTTTGGGGGGGGATCATCCGATTATTGTATTTTTTATTTGTGAGCGAATTTGGTTGCAAGGTCACTTGGACACTAAGACTATCGAAAGGAGATGGTTTCTTACGTTTTGCTCGTCCCTCAGCAATACCGCCCCCCCCCCCCCTTTCCCCATGTTGTGATGGGATTTTGTAAATGGTTTTTATGAGTGAGTGCCTGTGTGTGTGGAGGGGGTGAGGGGGGGGGGTAAGTTGGCTTTCTCCGCGGATTCCCAGGGGGTGTTTTTTAGGGGGGGGAAAATTTTATGAATATAAGGAGGTTTGGGGGGGGTTCAAAATTTAACAGAGTTTTTTGCCGCGCGTGCGCGCGCACGTGCGAGTGTGTGTTTGTGTGTAATACGTGTGTCTGTTGGTGAGTTGGGAGGGGGGCTGAGTGTGTGTGCACAAGTTTCATTCCGCTATGCATGATCACGAGAAAGGGGATCTAGGAACGGAAAGGGAGAGAGGGGGAGAAAGAGAAAGAGAGGAGGGGGGAGACAAGAAGAGAGGGGGGAGGAGAGAGGGATAGAAAAAGGAGAGAGAGAGGGGAAAAGAGAGGAAGGGGGGGGGGGAGACTGGGGACGGAGATAGGATAACAAACAGACGTGTAGAGAGACAGGCAGGCAAACACACCACTGATAGCAGAGCCATTGGAAGAAATAAGACCAAAGCATAGATAGATAGACAGACAAATAGATAGACAGACAGATAAACAGACAGATAAATAGACAGACAGAAAGACAGACAGATAGATAGATAGGGCAGTATCAACCCAATAACGATACCACAATGTCATGACGTGTCCCTGAATGAATATAACCCCCCCCCCTCTCTCTCTCTCTCTCTCTCTCTCTCTCTCTCTCTCTCTCTCTCTCTCTCTCTCTCTCTCTCTTACTTTCTCTCTCTCGCTCTCTCTCTCTCTCTCTCGCTTTCTCTCTCCCACTCTGTTCACAGGCGTATGTGTGTGTGTGTGCGCGTGCGTGTGTGCGTGTGTGTGTGTGTGTGTTTGTTTGTTTGTTTGTTTGTTTAGTATAGGGTTTTACGGCGCTCGCAACTGCATAAGGTCATATGAGCGCGCGGGACACACCTAATACTTTTTCGTTGGTAGGAAATTTTGAATTTTGCCCGGGTGGCGGCCGAAGCCTACTCTTATCGATTTTAGACCACCAAGGGATCTTTAACGTGCGCAACTTGCACACGGGCCCTCCGAGATTTTTCGCCCTTGTCCGAGAAGGCTAGGTGTAGATCTTTCCTACCAGAAGATCAGGGGTGTGGCAGAAAGACAGAAGTTAGGAGGAGCCAAGGAGTAGCAGTAGAAAGGCTGCAGAAAGAGTCAGGAGCCCAGAGGAGGGGGCAAAGGAGGTGAGGGGGTGGGGGCAGAAAGTGGAAATGAAAGCAGACAACAGAACATTGTTAGAGATCAGGAAAGGATGTGAAAGGAGACAATTTTAGAGAAGAAAATTTTTTGGTCGCTACCCGGAATCGAACCCGGGACCTTTGAATGAGAGGCCAACACCTTAACCTCTAGGCCACGAGAGCCCCCTGTGTGTGTGTGCGTGCGTGTGTGTGTATACCAACCCTCTCCGGTGTATACAGAGGTGCACGGTTGTCATAATATACAGATCTTCTATCAACAGACCAAATTTCGTGACTGTGTCCAGGGATAAAATCTGGACGCCTGTTATCGGCCTTAGGAACAGCCTGGGCCCTATGCAACTAGACCAGACCATGTTCAACCAACCCTCCATACATCACAGTGGCAAAGTTTATGACGTATTTGCAGGGGTCATCACTACAAGGTATCTCTTGTTTGAATTAATCATGTCGTTACAGTAAGGGGGGGGGGGTGGTGATAGGTAGGAATGAAAAGGGGGTGAGGGTGTTAGGGTGGAATGAGGGAGATGTATGGGGTGGAATTAAGAGCCATTAGATCTTCAGGATAAACACAACTGGAGAAAACTCACATCAGTTAAACCATGAAATGGGAATCGAACATACATCTAATCTGCCATTACCATATCCACCAAACCTCTTCTTGTTGTTATTGCCGTTATTGTTCTTGATCTTGTTCTTTGTCTTCTCCTTTCACTCATCCACTTTCTCTTCTTCTTCTTCTTCTTCTTCTTCTTCTTCTTCTTCTTCTTCTTCTTCTTCTCCTTCTCCTTCTCCTTCTCCTTCTCCTTCTCCTTCTCCTTCTCCTTCTTCTTCTTCTTCATCTCCTTCTCCTTCTCCTTCTCCTCCTCCTCCTCTTCCTCCTCCTCCTCCCCCGTTCCCCCCTTTTCTCTTTACTCAGTGTTGACCTAAGCTAATTAATCAGGTCTCTTGTTGAACTGTTGTATCCTATTCTTGCTTGATTGCCAGTAAGCAAAATTTCTTATTTAGAGTTACAGTTCAGAAAAATCGGTGAGTTGGGGTATTATCTGGACATCAGCTGTGATGAAGCTGAGTTTGGGTAGCCCATAGGTGACACAAGATAAATAAACACAGGGCAACACCTTGGCAAAAAAAGGTTGCGTATGACCTAAATTTGAGGGCCGTGTCGACCTCATTACACAATTTTTTTAAATGTACCTCTGAATTTTAAAATAATAAATCTGGATTTCGTGCATATGTGACAAATATAAAGAGGTGTTTTCTATATAATCATTAGTATTTAATTTCAGTCTGCGCGAGGATGTTTTTTTAATTAGAACAAGAACGGTAGTTGAGTGTTAGTTTTTTAAAAATTTGTTTAATTAAATATATTTTATTTTATTTTTTAACTGACTGCATGTGCCGCAAGACTGAGTTGTTTTCAGTCCAGCGGTTAGTGAGTGACAGTCAAGTGCGTTTATTTAGATTTACTAATTGTGATATACAATGAGTAACGTTTCTTTCATATCTTCACAGTCTTTGAGATCGCTTGAGTTTCAATTTGCTGTCGCTTTTTCATTAATCACCGTTAGATTTCGTAATTTACAAAAAAAACAAAAAAACCTTGCCTTAAAGCTACTGAACTGTTTCCCCAAGGAAGCTGGTCAAGGCCGTCTCTTTTTATTCTATAACAAATCCCGAAAAAAGGACAAGACATGCCTTAGGATTTTTCAGGACCACACTGCTCAGATGATCCAAGAGGATGAAAACCCAGAAGAAAGACAAGAAAATGTATGTTTAGGGAGGGGGAGGCTCTACACGGGGAGG